AGCTTCAGCATCAGTCCTTCCAATGAACACCCAGGACTGATCTCCTTTAGGATGGACTGGCTGGATCTCTTTGCAGTCCAAGGGACTCTCAAGAGTCTTCTCCAACACCACAGTTCAAAAGCATCAATTTTTCAGCCCTCAGCTTTCTTTACAGTCCAACTCTCACATCCATACATGACCAATGGAAAAACCATAGCCTTGACCAGACAGACCTTTGTTGGCAAAGTAATGTCTCTGCTTTTTAATATGCTATCTAGGTTGGTCATAACTTTCCTTCCAAGGAGTAAGCATCTTTTAATTTCATGGATGCAGTCACCATCCACAGTGATTTTGGAGCCCAAAAAATAAAGTCTGACACTGTTTCCACTGTCTCCCTATCTATTTCCCATGAGGTGATGGGACCAGATGCCATGATCTTCGTTTTCTCAATGTTGAGCTTTAAGCCAACTTTTTCACTCTCATCTTTAACTTTCATCCAGCGGCTTTTTAGTTCCTCTTCACTCTCTGCCATAAAGGTGGTGTCATCTGCATATTTGAGGTTATTGATATTTCTCCTGGCAATCTTCATTCCAGCTTGTGCTTCTTCCAGCCCAGCGTTTCTCATGATATACTCTGCATATAAGTTAAATAAGCAGGGTGACAATATACAGCCTTGACGTACTCCTTTTCCTATTTGGAACCAGTCTGTTTTTCCATGTCCAGTTCTAACTGTTGCTTCCTGACCTGCATATAGGTTTCTCAAGAGGTAGGTCAGGTGGTCAGGTAGTCTTTTCCATTCTATTGTTTTCCTCTATTAATTTGTAGTGATCACTTAGGAAGGCTTTCTTATCTCTCCTGGCTATTCTTTGGAAGTCTACATTCAAATGGGAGTATCTTTCCTTTTCTCCTTTGCTTTTAGTTTCTCTTCATTTCACAGTTATTTGTAAGGCCTCCTCTGACAACCATTTTGCCTTTTTGCGCAGAAAACCCTAAAGTTAGTATCAGAAAATTACTAGAGCTAATCAGTGAATTTAGCAAAGTTGCAGGATACAATATCAGTACATAGAAATCACTTACATTTCTATACACTAACAATGAAAAATCAGAAAGAGAAATTAAGGAATCAATCCTATCCACCATTGCAACAAAAAGAATTAAATACCTAGGAATAAACTTACTTAAGGAGATGAAAGAACTGTACCCATAAAATTATAAGACACTAATGAAAGAAATCAAAGACCACATAAAGAGATGGAGAGATATTCTATGTTCTGAGGTAGGAAGAATCAATAATGTGAAAATGACTGTACTGCCAAATGCAATCTACAGAGTCAATATGATCCCTATCAAATTACCGATAGCATTTTTAACAGAACAAGAACAAAAAAAAATTCACAATTCATACGGAAACACAAAAGACCCCGAATAGCCAAAGCAGTCTTGAGAAAGAAGAATGGAGCAAAAGAAGAATGGAGCTAGAGGAATCAGCCTTCCTGACTCCAGGTTACACTACAAAGCTACAGTCACCAAGACAGTATGGTACCAGCACAAAAACAGAAATATACACCAATGGAACGAGAGAGAAAGCCCAGAAATAAACCCATGCACCTATGAGTATCTCATTTTTGACAAAGGAAGCAAGAATATACAATGGGGCAAAGACATCCTCTTCAATAAATAGTGCTGGGAAAACTGGACAGCTGCATGTAAAAGAATGAAATTAGAAGACTTCCTAACACCATACACAAAGATAAACTCAAAATGGCTTAAAGACCTAAATGTAAGACCAGAAATTATAAAACTTAGACTAAAACATAGGCAGAACATTCGATGACATAAATCAAAACAAGAACCTCTATGACCCACGTCCTAGAGTGATGGAAATAAAAACAACAGTAAACAAGTGAGACTTGATTAAACTTAAAAACTTTTACACAGCAAAGGAAACTATAGCAAGCTAAGAACACAACCCTCAGAATGGGAGAAAATAATAGCAAGTGAAACAACTAGCAAAGGATTAATTTTAAAAATATACAAGAAACTCATACAACTCAATGCCAAAAAAACAAACAACCCAATCAAAAAGTAGGAAAAAGACCTATACAGACATTTCTCCAAAGAAGACATACAGATGGCTAACTAACACATGAAAAGATGCTCAACATCACTCATTATTAAAGTGAAGTGAAGTCGCTCAGTCATGTCCAACTCTTTGCGACACCATGGAATGTAGCATCCAACCTGCATCTCTTATATCTCCTACACTGGCAGGCAAGTTCTTTACCACCAGAGCCACCTGGGAAGGTCCAAATGGGACTAAGCATGGTTATAAACAAAGATAGGGTTATGGCTGCCAGGATAGTTACAGATAAAGACATGAATTCTCCTTCAGAGCCATCACTTGCATTCTCTCTTGTCTGATTTTCCTTGTGTTGGTCCCTTCTCCTTGTGCAGTGTTACACTTGATCAGAATACCAAACTACTACTACTACTAGCATTAACATATTTTCCTTCCTTTGTTTTGTTTTCCTCCATACAGTTATCAATGACTGAAAGTAGAAAATGTATTTATTCACTTATTTATTGTCTGTCTCTCCCATTGGAATGCAAACTCCCGGGAGAATTTTTTTTTCTCCCCCCTCACATTTATTACTGTGAACTAGAGCTGCAAAATCAGATAAGTTTTAATCATTTGCTAGAAAAATAAAATTACATATAATATTCTTTTCTGTTCAGGTCATGTGGCAGAGAGGCAAAATTAGCAACACTAACAATAAAAATTTACCAAGCATTTATTTTTATTTTAATCAAGTGTTTACTAAGGTAAGTTTTTTTCACATCTACCTCTGTGATTTTATTTCAGCTGTGTTGTCTTTGGTAGTTAAGGTCTTATCTAGAGTCTAACAAGCATTTTTTATACTACTATATGTTATTATTGATGTTGCTATTAAATGTTTTTATTTTCTTTCATTTTTAAAAAGGAACAATGAGAATACTCATGAAAACATGATGGACCACCCAAAATGTAATCAATATAGAAAGAGGATTTTAAATAACAGGTAAATTGGAGAAGGAAATGGCAACCCACTCCAGTACTTTTGCCTGGAAAATCCCCATGGGTAGAGAAGCCTGGTGGGCTACAGTCTATGGGGTTGCAAGAGTCGGCCACAACTGAGCGACTAAGCACACAGCACAATATTAGTAAATTAAACCTAACAGAAAGTTAATAGAATCAAATTTGTTTCTTGCTAGATTTTTCTAATAATTATGTTGGTAGCTAACCATGTTCACAGGAAAAATAGAATCCTATATAAAAATGCCCAAATATGTGGAAATTAAATATACACTTATTTGTTTTAAAAAATATGAAGAGACTACATGGTGACTCTGGGTATGCAAAGCTAACTAAGACATTTCTCTGGTCCATGAAAGTTAATACTGTAATGAGTGAAACAGAAAATTTCAGTAAAATACATTTTATGGTTAAGTAAGCCTGTCACAGGGGTTAGGAAATCTCTGCCTGATCTAAATCTTAAAGACTATGTAAGAGTATAAAAACATACAAAATGAACTTTCTATTATATGACTTTGAGATATCTGGAAAACATATAACAAATAATTAAAGAATATATGAAAGAACAGATATAGATAATTATGTGTCAATTTATCCTCATATACATAGAAAATCTAAACATGCTTACAGCAGAAGACAAAAGCTATCCCTTAAATACATTTATTATTTCTTCTAAATATACTCTAACTAGAAGCAGGATATTTGGCCAAAAAGTCATCCTTATGAAATTATACACAGTAGAACGTAACTAAAATTTACTCAGAATTTAATACTAGCAAGTAGCATCCTTTAGCAAATCACAGAACTGATTATTAATCTGTTTTTTTTTTTTTTTTTAAGTACCCATACAGCATGCCTTGGTCAAACACCATACACAGCCTTGTTACAATAAAGATCAAACATGCATGGTACATTCACAAATTCAGTAACATTTCTTACTATAAATTTCTCCCTTTAATGTTTCTTATTAATAGTTGAGCAACTCCTAAACTATCTCTAAGCAGTTTTTATAGCCAGAATTAAAATGTTTGATTATTTTCTTTTCCCTGGTAACATATCAAATAAGAAAAAGTATGGCCAGGTCGAATGATACTACCATAACACAGTCACCCTTTCTCAATTGATTTTAAGAGATACTTTATGAATAAACCTCTATAAATAGTTATTTCAACAAAACAAAGAATTTGAAAGCAGAGGATATTTCCCATTTATAAAATGGGGAAATGATGTAGTTCAGATGCAATGTAAATCATTTCAAATATCCAAGTTGATAAATTTATTAGCTTATTTGTCTTTCAGGATCAGTTAAGTCATTTAATATCACTGACACATTACAAAAAATAAGTGGAACTCTCATGCGTGCGTGTATGTGTGCTAGTAGCTTAGTTGCGTCCAACTCTTTGCAACCCCATGGATTGTAGCCTGCCAGGCTCCTCTATTCATAGGATTCTTCAGGCAAGAACACTTGAGCGGGTTGCCATTTCCTTCTCCAAAACTCTCTTAGATTTGCAGATAAGTATTTGAAATTGCTTCAGGTAACAGGATCAGAGTGAAGTGGAGTGGAAAGATAAAATGAGGGGATGGGATATATGGGATGGGATCAGAAGATGCAACTGAAGAAAGAAAAAGGATCCGGTCAGGAAATTAAAGAAAATGAGTACACACACAGAGAAACATCCTATAGAGGACACGAAAGAAGTGAACAGATTTGATAGCCACCTAAACAAAGGACTGAAAAAGAATAAAACACAGAAGTACATGCTTTGGGAGAAAAAGTCCAGTAGTTTATTTTTATGAAGATTAAGAAGATATCAGAAAGTGCAGAGTAGTCCTAAAAGGGTAAGATTATGGGAACTGATTGGAGGACAACTCAGATGTGCTTGTGAATATGGCCACCCTGTTACAACTGATTCCCTGTGAATCTTTAGTACAAATTCAAAGTTCATACCTTTGCTTTATCTCTCATTGATCCTTTGCCCAGGATAGACATTTTAGCACCTGTTTCTTCCTGTAGCCTCTTCAAAGAGTTTCCTCTCGGTCCGAGCAATTTGCCCACAAAATTGAACTAGGAAACAAAATAATTAGAACATCTATATTAAGTAGAGAAAAGCAATGATTTAAAGCAAACAAAAATGATGGGTTATGGTTTTTCGAACTTTACCATGTAGAACAGAGTTATGCCTCACACACACACAGGAAACCAGCCTCTCACATACCTAAACACACACACACAGACACACACACACAGGAAACCACCCCAGACCTATGAGCTCAGATACACTTTTTAAGAGATGCTTCTTCCTAAAGAAATGCTAGAGTCAGTAATCTTTTGAAAATATAATTTACTCATATAATCACATAAATTATTTAAAAAGAACTTAGGGAGAAGTACTATGGTTTATAAAATTTCTAAAGGGTTTTCTCTCCAATCAGATTATTGAAATAAAGAAAAATTTTAACATGCCTGTGCATATTCAAAATTGCAAAAATAAAATAAATAAATAAATAAATAAATAAATAAAAACTTAAATTTACTTTAAATTAAAATTTAACATTCATGTTTGGCAAGCATTGTCTATACCCGTAAGAGTCCATTTTAAATTTCATGATTGGTAATAAAGAGATTCAACTGTTCTTCAATCTTACCTTCTTTGTGTTAAAGAGTTGTTCTAAAGATCAGCAAATAAGAGATGTGAATGCATACAAAAGGGTTTAAAATGCTAGAAAGAGCATATATACAAAGCAGTTTGCTTACATGCAAAATTCTAGCGCTCAAGGCATGTATAACTGGCTTATTAATTATGAAATCTGGTTATAAACAAGGGAAATAAAGGCAGTTATCAGCATTTGTTGCCAGCTACTAAATGAATATCACTACATGAAATGACTGATGTAATTACTCATTAATTAAAAAAAAAGGATTAGAATGCATTAAAGATTATGTTGGGCATGTGAAACAGAAATAAACAAAATTAAGTAACTGTCTTCTATATCAGAGTTATCATATATTTTTAAATACCCAGAGTAAGAAATAAACCACACTTAATGGTGAAAGACTGAACACTTTCCCCATAAATACAGGATCAAGTCAAGATGCCTGTTCTCACCACACTGTCTCGGTGCTCCGCTGGAGTGTGGGTATCTACAGGCATGTAAGACAAATGGAATGGAATAAGGTGCAAAAAGACCACATTTAGATCAACTGATTGTCAACAAAAGGGCCAGAGCACTTTTGAAAACATTTGAAAAGTAAAATCTTTTTAACAAATGGTTCTGGAACAACTGGATATTCATATGCAAAAACAAGCACAAAAAAATACTTTTACATTCTAACACACATTAAAGCAAAGTGAAGTTGCTCAGTCATGTCTGACTCTTTGTGACCCTATGGACTGTAGCCCACCAAGCTCCTGCATCCATGGGATTTTTCCAGGCAAGATACTGGAGTGGGTTGCCATTTCCTTCTCCAGGGGATCTTCCCAGCTCAGGGATCAAACTGGGCCTCCCACATTGCAGGCAGACTCTTTACCGTCTGAGCCACCAAGGACTCCCTGGGCTAGGAAGATCCCCTGGAGGAGGGCACAGCAACCTACTCCAGTATTCTTGCTTGAAGAATCCCCATAGACAGGGAGCCGGGGGGCTACAGTCTATGGGGTCACAAAGAGTTGGACATGACTGAGAAACTTTCACAACACACATTAAAGCAACTGCTATTTTAAGGTCTACCATAGGTCTAAGCTAAAAAAGGAAGAGAAGTGAGGGACAAAGGAGAAGAGGAAAAATTTACCCATCTGAATGTAGAGTTCCAAAGAATAGCAAGGAGAGATAGAAAGAGATATTTAAGATAAAGTCTTCTTAACTGAAAAAATACAAAGAAAGAGAGGAAAGTAATAGAATGGGAAAGACTAGAGATTCCTTCAAGAAAATTAGAGATACCAAGGAAACATTTCAGAAATGGTAAGGACCTAACATAAGCAGAAGAGATTAAGAAGTGGGGGCAAGAATACACAGAACTGTACCCAAAAAATCTTAATGACTCAGACAACCATGATAGTGTGATCACTCCTCTAGAACCAGACATCCTGGAGTGTGAAGTCAAGTCAATCTTAGGAAGCATTACTATGAACAAAGCTAGTGCAGTTTATAGAATTCCAGCTGAGCTATTTCAAATCTTAAAAGATGATGCTGTTTAAGTGTTGCACTCAAGATGCCAGCCAATTTGGAAAACTCAGCAGTGGCCACCGGACTGGAAAACATATTTTCATTCCAATTCCAAAAAAATCAATACCAAAGAATGTTCCAACTACTGCAAAACTGTGTTCATTTCACGTGCTAGCAAAGTAATACTGAAAATCCTTCAAGCTGAATTTTCCAGATGGATTAGCTGGCAAAGAATCCACCTACAAGGCAGGAGACCCAGTTTGATCCCTGGGTCAGGAATATCCCCTGGAGAAGGAAATGGCAACCTGCTCCAGTATTCTCACCTGGAAAATGCCATGGACAGAGAAGCTTGGTGGACTACACTCCTTAAGGTCTCAAAGACACACAACTGAGCAATTAACCATGAACGAATGTGTTAACAGTAGGTGAACTGAGAAATTGCAGACGTACAAGCTGGATTTAGAAAAGGCAGAAGAAGTAGAGATCAAATTGCCAATATCCACTGGATCATAGAAAAAGCAAAGGAATTCCAGAAAACAAAACAAAACAAAACAAATCTACCTCGGCTTCATTGACTACTCTAAAGACTTTGCCTGTGTGGATCAAAACAAACTGTGGAAAATTCTTAAAGAGATGGAAATACCAGATTACCTTGCCTGCCTCCTGAGAAACATGTATGCAGGTCAAGAAGCAATAGTTAGAACTGGACATGGAACAATGGACTGGTTCCAAATTGGGAAAGGAGTACATCCAGGCTGTATATTGTCACCTTGCTTATTTAACTTCTATGCAGAATATGTCATGTGAAATGCCAGGATGGATGAAACTCAAGCTGGATTCAAGATTGCCAGGAGAAATATCAATAACCTCAGATATGCAGATGAAACCACCCTTATGGCAGAAAGTGAAGAGGAACTGAAGAGACTCTGGATGAAAGTGAAAGAGGAGAGTGAAAAAGCAGGTTTAAAACACAACATTCAAAACACTAATAGCATGGCATCTGGTCCCATCACTTCATTGCAAATAGATGGGGAAACAACGGAAACAGTGGCAGACTTTGTTTTCTTGGGCTCCAAAATCACTGCAGATGATCAGTGTAGCCATGAAATTAAAAGATGGTTGTTTCTTGAAAGAAAAACTATGACAAACCTATACAGCATACTTAAAAGCTGAGACATCAATTTACCAAATAAGGTCTGTAAAATCAAAGCTATCATTTTTCTAGTAGCCATGTATGGATGTGGGAGTTGAACTATAAAGAAGGCTGAGCACTGAAGAATTCAGTTTTTCAAATGTGGTGCTGGAGAAGACTCTTGAGAGTCCCTTAGACAACAAGGAGGTCAGACCAGTCAATCCTAAAGAAGTAAACCTTGAGTATTAATTGGAAGGACTGATGCTGAAGTTGAAGCTCCAATACTTTGGGCACCTTATGTGAAGAGCTGACTCATTGAAAAAGCCCCGGATTGAGGGAACGAGGAGGAAGGGAAAACAGATGGTAAGATGGTTGCATGGTAACATCGACTCAATGGATATGAGTTTGAGCAAACTCTGGGAGATGGTGAAGGACAGGGAAGCCTGGTGTCCTGCAGTCTATGGGGTCACAAAGAGTTGGACAAGACTGAGTGACTGAACAACAACAATAGATCTAAACACAAACACACAAAAAATAAATTAGCATACAAGAAGGCCTTTGCAAATTTAAGCTGGGGAAGTTTACCAGCAAGTGAAGAATCCTCATTGAAATATTTACTGATCCAAAAAGCATTAAGAAATTAAATCTGCAAACCACAGCCTGGGAGAAAATACTCCCCATGAATATATGTGAATAATGACTAGAATATAGAATCTATGGAAAAAACTCCATCAAATCAATAATTAAACACACACACTGCTAAAACTGGAAAAAAAAAAAAAACCAAATATTGATGGTGATTTGTAACCACTAGAGCAATTATTATTTCTAACTTAAAATGATACAGTGACTTTGTGAAGAAGATTGGGAGTTATTTATGAATTTAAACACAGATCCACTACATCCCAGTAATTCTATACATAAGTATTTATCTAAGAGTAATAAACACATGTGTTCCCAAATTTCCTTGCATAAGTACATTGGGACACTTTATTCATGATCACCATTAAACTGGAAATAAAGCACTGCCCATGCAAAATGAAGACCTGTGCACTTTAATGTATATAATGTTAGTTGCTTAGTCGTGACTGAAGCCTTGCGACACCATGGACTGTAGCCCTCCAGACTCCACTATCCATGGGATTCTCCAGGCAAGAATACTGGATTGGATTGCCATACCCTTCCCCAGGGGATCTTCCTGACCTAGGGATCAAATCTGGGTGTCCTGCGTCGCAGGCAGATTCTTTACCATCTGAAGCACCAGGGAAGCACTTATTGTATGTAAACAGTAAATCAATTAAGAATGAGGGGAAACTAGAAAGCAGAAACTCCATGTAAATATTTAAAAATTAATATCATGGATAAGGTGTCCATAGGTTCATGGATTTATCTCTGGGCTTTCTATTCTGTTCCATTGATCTATATTTCTGTCTTTGTTCAACAAAGGAGGCAAGAATACACAATGGAAAAAAGTCAAACTCTTTAACAAGTGGTGCTGCGAAAACTGGTCAACCACTTGTAAAAGAATGAAACTAGAACACTTTCTAACACCATACACAAAAATAAACTCAAAATGGATTAAAGATCTAAATGTAAGACCAGAAACTATAAAACTCCTAGAGGAGAACATAGGCAAAACACTCTCTGACATAAATCACAGCAAGATCCTCTATGACCCACCTCCAAGAATATTGGAAATGAAAGCAAAAATAAACAAATGAGACCTAATGAAACTTAAAAGCTTTTGCACAACAAAGGAAACTATAAGCAAG